GAGAAAGTCCACTATAGTAATATACATGTGAATGTATGTTTGTGTATGAATTTCACCTTTCCTAGTCAAAGTATGACTTTGCTAAACGTTCGATGATTATCTCTGAATAGTACAAGCGGAATGATAAGATCATTATTTTTTAGCGGTAGCGACTACAATTTAGGAAATCGATTCTTCATACCTTTCATTGGCATATCCATATCACCTTTATGACTCGTCGTTGATATCTCGATAAGTAGTTATTATTATTTTGATTGATTCAAAGAATCTTTCATTATAAATATAGTTAGTTTCATGTTCAAATTCACTACACATACCTTCCCATCGCATATATTACATATGGTTAGCATTTGTTTACGTACATTTTACGATATATTGTAATGAAGTACAATATTGTCAATATAAGGCAAACCTCAATAAATATTATTAACTCTTAAAAGCCATAATTATAGGCGCAGTTACCTATTTTCTATTTAAATGTGTACTATAAACGTATGTTTGTGTGTGTGTGCAAGCATAAAAGTGTATTAGACCACATTCAACATAATTATCGTTAAGTGCTCTAATAACCTTGAAAACTGCTGAACGTGTAACTTTGTCATTTCGTATGAATTGGATTAATAATAATAAACAAATGCTTTACCTGAGTTTTTTTGTTGTAACTTATGGAGAGACTAACTTAAGATTAATTAAATTAATTAAGTTTAAAATGACGCACTTGAGATTCTTTTTTCTTTTTTGTTTTTCAACTAATAGACAACTTAAAGAAAGTGGAGCTTAGTAATTATCAAATGCATAAATTACATGCAACGACAGAACGAAAAAAAAAAACATAAAAGACCCTTTAACAGACAGATTGTAAAGTTTTTCACTTTAAATTTAAATTTCATTTATTATTAAGAGAGACCTTGTGCGAACGACAACAACCATCTGACTGTTGTATGCAGTAGTAGTGCTCTTATAGCACTACCTTGACACTTGACCTTTGACACTCGGAGCTATTACTTGGAATATTCTCGAGCCAGGTTCCCAATTTCCTTTTAGCAATATCACAAAGAGAGCGCAAGGAACGGGTCTCCACGAACCCATCCATCTAGAATGGACGAACAGCATGGGATAGTACGTAAACTTAGTTCGCGTAGCTTTTTCCTGCAAAGCATTAGATCTTTCAAAAAGGCTGCTCGGATTTTGCTCGGATTTGTTTTTCAATGAAAAACCTAAAGTCATCGATTTTCCCGGTGGATCCATGCATATTATAAGAGTTCAATTGCCTTTTTTCATATGAAGGCGTGGCTTAATTATGCCGCTGTACACATCAAAAAATCCATAAACATTGTCCAAAATTCTACAAAAAGTTCGAGCTAAGCCCGGATAGTCGTCGGCACGGTGCAGCAGATTCAAGAATAAAGCCATACTTGCGTGATCTGTCTTCGTAAGAATTAATTTAGAAATGAAGAATTAATTTTTAATTATGTACTTTATTTAAAAGTGTGTATGACCGACTTTAAATCATATATTAATAGCAACATGAAAATTTTATTAAAACACATTAAGTGATAATAAGCATAATTAAATCAATGTACAAAAAACAGCCACGAATACCGCAAATTGATCGCTTCGGATGGCAAATTCAATCCATTTTATCCTTTGCTTAAAGTCTCTTTGCTACAGATTACATGACGATTGCGATCGGGGCTACTATTAAGATTTGCTAAGTATCTTTCTTGCAAAAGAGAAAATAGAAAAGAAAAACGTTTGTGAACAAAATATTGTAAGATCAAAACTCATTTTCGTTTATTTCAAGAATCATATAAAGTTATTGTCTAAAATGGACATTTCGTCGACGTGTGTCGCTTGTTGTGTTGCTACAAATGCCTTTGCCCTGAAGGAATTAAGGTCTCGGACTGAAAATAGATCTTTGAATGAAGGCACATTTTGTTAACAAAGGCAGGGAGGTTTGTAAATGAAATTATTCTCGTTGACCTCATCGAGAAGCGTATAATGCTCGAACAAGCTGATAAAATCTATTAGGGAAGTAATCAATCCTACTGTAGATTGCAAACGTCTATCTTAAGGATTCTCCTCTTGGCATAATTGATGAGTGGTATTCTTGACAAGCCAACTTATTGTTAAATAACCTAAACTTTAATGTTCTTAAGTGTTGTTGAAGGAACCGGCTTATCGTAGAATCGAATCAATGGAAATTCACTTATGTATTATTCAACTTTGTAAACACTCAAGAGTGCTTAGCATATGGTCAAATGGACACTCAAAGCACACTTAACGACTGCTACTAACACATCGCACCTAAGCTGCTCAACAATACATCACTTTTCACTACTCTCTGTACCTTATTAACCCAATATGCAGAAGTTCTATATATATATGTATATATATATGTAGTATGTTATAATCTATAATGGCCTTCAAAATGACTCAAATTTCATTGTTCGCATGTTTATTGAAAATGTCGTTGAAGAGGAAACATTTTTTTACTTTTTTAGTATAGGAAGGAATTAGAAGGAAGATGAAGAAGTTGGGAAGAATTGCTGCATCTGAGCACATAGTTGCTTTCTCCTTTCGACTACTCATGTATCTCAGCTACACTTTCTACTTGCATGCTAGTAGCAATATATTAACATGATTCTTTATAACCTTTTATTTGTCTTTCTACTATTGTTTACATTTTTAATCACAAATGACATATTTTGCAAAGTTCGTGGGTCGGAAATCATTGGTGGTGAAAATGGACGCTTTTTCACCCTGTGCAGAAAGGTGGAAGCGTTTTGAAGAGTTTAGGGATGCAATTGTGTGTGTGCGTGTGCGTGTATGTGTGCGTATGTGTGCAGTGTGCCATTAAAAGAGAGGGAACAAGAAAAAAATAGAAACTTTATAAAGTGTAGATACATACATACAAACACTCTAAAAGTTTTGAACAATATTTTTAAATGAAATGAAAATTCTGTTAAATTCGTTGACAAAAAACAGGTATGACACGAACTGAAACGCTTTTACAATTTGTTTCGACAAATAAGTTAACAATTCTAGTTTCGTAAAGTTTTTCGCAAAACATTCTCCTAACAATTTGCTCGAGTTTCTTAAAAGTTTTCTTGCTGTTGCTTCTGCACCTTTGCTTACGTACTTACTTTTTCGATGAAAAACGCTTTCGTATATCGTAGAAATTGGAAACAATATGTAAAATTATACATACGCTAGCAATATTTTATTAACAACAAATTGCTGGAATTGCTCTTCCACTTAAATTTTTTTTATTAATGTGTTGTTCAATGTGTTAAGTTAGGCAATTTCTTCAACTCGACAAGACACAAGATAGGATGATGAATACATTCTATAGGGATTTCATGAAAAATAACTGTTAATTCTCATAATCTTAGATTAGTTAGATGCATTCATCCTTAAGAAATTTGAGATAATCTGTATCTTTATTAAGTCGATGCGTTTTACTTTATTTGATAACAAAAAAAAAAAAAAAACTTATCTTAATTAAAACAAAGATTATCTCAATCAAGGACAAAAATAAGATATATATTGAATGGATTCATTATGCATTGGCAGAAACAATTGAATTTGAAGTGAAGATGAAGTAAATGCTTTGCAATTTCATTGACCTAATCCACCAAATACCGTAAATGCTTGAATACAGATAAGCAGGAAATGTTTTCTACTTCACAAAGATTCTTATAAAATTCTTTAAAAATGTCTCTATTTACTTTTTTTTTCTTATGAATTTACGACTCATTGAACTTATCACGTTTGTCTAGTAAAAAGCTAAACAACAGTTTTGTCCACGCCGCCAAAACAAAAAAAAAAGAGTTAACAGTACGTAAAGTAATGTTTAATGAAAAACAAATCGCGGCCTTGTGATACTTACCACCCACCCACCACTTGCATTAAAAATAGGCGTCAACTTTTTAGCATAATCTATTGCCAGAATCTATAGGGAACACAACTTTTAACTTTAATTACTCCTCTTATAACACTATTCTAATATATGTAGCAACAATTTAACAAAGACATAAGACCTAATGTTAGGACACGATGTACTTAACGGTAAAAAAACGATTTGGTTTAAAGCGTGTGAAGAGAAAGGTTGCAAATTTTAGTGCACGAGTCTACTTTCTATGATCGAAGTTTTTTTTTTTATCGAAAAAACGTAAGCATTGTACGATCGTTGCGATCATTACAACTACATAAGGCCATAGAAGGCTCGAACATTTGTTCCAGATTCCAGTCAAGAGCCCGCCTGAGTCACGAGCCGACGAACATAAAGGTAGTGATGTGCCTTTTAAAACATATTGTTCTCGCTGGTGCGGTGAAGGAAAATGACCGGGATCCGTTGCAAGCTGCAAAAGAAACTATTTTGTCAGAGTTATACGTTAGATTTGCCATGGGATCAGATGTATTATTCCTTTAACCGAAGCGAATAGATGCATTCCGTCTCTGCATTTTACTTTGTGCCGAGAAATTCGAAACATTCGGACCTGTTCTCGGACATAGACACAGCCTTGAGACAACTGGAAGGAGGGAAATTTTCCCAACATTTTCATCCGCAAATTACGATTTTTATCAGATGGCAATCCGATAATGACACAAACACTTACACGACTACCTTCAGCTTTATGTAAAGATTATGAAAATACTTACATCGTCAGTTAATAAAACTCGTTTCGGCCCTTAGCCTGGCGGACGTTCAATATGTCCGCTCTCAATCAGTAAGAACCACTCTCTTGCCATCACCTTTAAAATGCATGTATGCATAAAATTTTGGCAATGGGTCAATGTAGAGGTAACAGTACTCTATGTCTTTTAACCTATTTTTTTTAATACGGTTTATAAGATTAACTGAAAGATTGTAGCTTCGTTTTCGTTAAAACTTATTAAAATTTTATAGAATAGATAAGATATACATATACATTCCTAGAAGAGACGAAGAATTTTGACATCCTGAGATGGATGGAAATGCTTTTTTCCGTTAAATGCCTTTGCATTTCCCCTTTGCCATCCTATGAAGATCTTTCGCTTCAGATGATACAAACCTTCTTCTTATTATTTTTATGTTAAATTTCACATTTATAGCAAACTTTTTACATCTTTGGTGAAGGAATACTTTATATAAATTCAAAATTACAATGGCAAGCCGCATCCCTCTTATAGATGGTAAAGATCTAAGAAATTATCCTGATAGATTCCCAGAACTCGATTCAAAGCGAATAAATCTGTTATGCTGATTTTAATTTACCGTAACACAATCTCTGTGGGATATTCAGTTAATGCTATTGATTCTGTTGCCGCACTCCTCAAACCGTTCAAATTGGTTGTAGGCGCCAGACAATCCGCCGTCGTTGTTGCTCCGAGTAATTTCAAATCGCCTTTGGCAATGTTAATGTATTTCCGCGTACGTCGCGTTTTCTCTCTCCCTGTTATTTGACCATTAAGAGCATTATTACTATTTGCTGAACAACAGCACAATATTTCGTGAAATTCTTTACGGAAATTGTCATTCAGCCATCCGTAGAGCAGCGGGTTCGAGCAGGCCGAGCTCATACCACACATATGACAGAACGCATATAAAACCAAAACATCGTTCGACGTGCCCTTCATGTCCACATACAAATTGAAAAAATTTAATGGCAGCCAGGACACCCCGAAGATAATTGCGATACTTATAAGCAAGCAATTTGTTCGCTTCATCCGGCGTCCTCGTTCAGTGTTGCGTTGTTGCGATGCTTGTATTGTGGTCACTACTGCAATTTGATTTTTTAATTTAAAATAGATGCCGAGATAAGCACACGATACAATAACTATGGGCACCAAATACTGAACACATAGCGAAAATATTGAATAGTAAAAGGCTCCATGATCGACCGGCCAATCTTCAATGCAAAACGATATGGCATTTATGCCAAATTTATGCAGGAAGGGCGGCATATCCTCATGTACTAGACGTTTAAAAATGAACATAGGCGAGGCCAAGAGTAAAGCCAGCAACCAAATACCCAGCAGTGTGAAAACGGCTCCCACAAATTGTAGACTATCGTGTGTCGGATATACAATCAACTAAAAATTTCAAACAAAAATACCTTTAATCATATCAAAGAAACAAACACATGTCATGTACAAATACATTTGTGAAATAAACTCCGCAACTACCCACCTGATAACGGTCGAATGCGATTGCGGTTATTGATATGGTCGATACAAATATGCTTAAGGCCTGCAACATGCCAATCATTTTACAGAGTATAGCCCAGGAGCCAAAAGGCCAAAACTTCGTGACGATTTCTATCAAAGTTAGAGGCATAGTTACCAAACACAGCAACAAATCTGCAATGCATTAAGAAATACTTATGTAGAATAATGCGTAAAGTAAGCGCACTCAAGAGCGAAGTACGTCAGTTGATTGACGACGATAACATACCGGAAACAGCCAGATTTAAAATGAACAAATTACGCGCTGTTCTCATAGCGGGTTTACGTATTACGGCCATCACCACCAATATATTACCCAGAGCTCCAAATATAATTAAAATACCGTAGAGTACAATTAATATATGATACCATGGGGCATCTATTCTGCGATTACGTGAAAATCGCTCAATCAACACCGGATCGATAACCAAAGCGGAATTATTATTGACGGTCGTGTTTGCAATACGGTGCCCCATCGTTGCTTGCCATGTGTAATCTAGGTTATCTAAAACGATTTCCGTGCCCTCCATCGAACTACCATTGCGACTTGCGACTGACAGTAAATTAATAAATTTGTTATTATTATTCTCTGCTAAAATTGCTTTTGTAGTCATAATCTGCCAGTTTTTCTATTAAAACGCGTACGTTGTACTTTATATCGATAGCCTGTAATACATAATAGACAAAATCAAAAATAGAAAAAAAATGCATTTAGAAGAAGATAAAAAAAAACAACGCATTACAATCTAAAGAATTGAACAGGTGCGAAAGTCATAATATAAACTCTTACCATAACCTAAAAGCCTGTACGTAGGAATGTTTAATTAAATTTTCAAATTAGAAAAAAAAAAAAAAATAATCTACTGGCCATTAGCCATCACTTCACAATACAGTTGTGACACTCTGTTATGCCCTCGTGATCTTTCCCGCGTTCGGACAACGGGAATATTAAAAAAACTTTTATCGTAAGAAATTTTATCATAAGTCTGGTGTATCCACCACCTCAGACTAACATGTAAAGGTTGTATTTGTAATTAACAAATCCACAATTAGTAGACTAATGTGTTGGTCGGTTGGAATTTTTTCACACTCAGTCGCTAGTGAATGTGTGTACCGATATTATAGGTTATTAGCTAGAATTTTTTGACAAATGGATCCGGACTTCCGAGCAGACTCAATTAACCCTAAATTTGCCCGTTTAAAACATTGCACTGTACACTCAAATCTTGTGCTTAGCAATTGCAAAAATTGCTTAGAATATTTAACTCCTTTGAAGACGGGCTGAACTACAAATACCGTAACGGGCTGGAAAATTGACTGAAAGTATTGCTACTATTCAATCATCTAAATTCGGCATTGACCTTGAACAATTATATACAAAAGTTTGCATTTAACATACATTTTTTAATAGAACCTTCTTCCAAAAGCCGCTAAGGATTGTCGTTAATATACCAATTAAATGCTCCGGCTTTAATGTCGAACGCAATCAACCGTCTGAGATGAGCGCTAACCGAGATTTGCATTAAAGATGCTTTAAGTTAAAGTTTCTTCTCTAAGCAGATAATTTTATTTTTGCGTGTTGCAATCTTTGAATTTCCAATACTTCTTCCGTAAGACTACTGGATCTTTACAGCATTGCTACAGAAGTAAAATAATACCTTCTCTCTGGAAGGCAAAGTACGAAATAGTCTTTCAAATTGTGTCTTTTCATCATATTCGTTCATTTAATCTGCATTCTTACACTTTTCTTATTTACGTCATAACGCATTAAGATTTCATTACTTCTCCTCACGGCCTTAACACAAATTTACATATTTTGCCGTAAGGTCGCGCGCCATATATAAAAAAAAAAGTGTTAAAAATGCTTGTGAGGCGAAATGGAAAGTATGGGCGATGGTAGGAAACACTCACTTGCTTGAATCTAGCGGCACCTCACTAACTCCACATGTGGCCCGAACCCCTTATTAAAAGGAAAATATTAAAAATACCCAAGCATTGTGGCCAATGTGTGATTTGATGCCTATGGCCATAGGTGAAACAAGGCAATCGATTTATGAAGTAAAGAAAATGTAAAAAAACAACGAATTTTTTGGATTGTTTTAAATATTTGTCCAGTTTATTACATTAAATTTGTTAACACATTTTCCCTTTTTTTTTAAAAAAAAGTTTTGTGAGATAAAAATCCATGCTTTGGCAAACGTCGGAAGCCATTTATTTGTCTTATTCCATATTTCTATTTTATTTTTACTTTCATTTCCATTTATTTATATATTTTTTCTCGTTTTGTTTTATTTTAGCATTGCATTAAACTTTGTGGAAATCATTTATATTTCGAGGAAAACTCATTGGATTTACATGAACTCTTCTTCTTCACTAAAGTTATGTTTAAAATACCAAATAAGGTTTTCCTCCATTTTGTGTAAAGCATTTTAATAAGTGCTGTCGTTGCTACGCAAGATCGGCTCTGCTTCATTTTCCTCTTTCGCCCCTTGGCCTTTCGGCTCGAAACTCTTAACATCTAAAAGGACTTTACTTTACTCTAATACCCAGTAGAATTTTTAATAATTTAATTTCAATGTTGTCGCTGTATAATTTGTGGCAATCTATTGTCAATTTGATCCTTTTAAGTTTCATTCAATTCATTTAAAGGGTTATTTAGGTTACCATCGTTTCGAGTGGCACGCGCAAGGCATTTGCCAACTCAAGTCAACCAAAGTGCAACCTTTTCTAAATTGGACCGTTTCATAGTTTATTGAAGTGATGGTAGACGTTTTATTTGCATAGATTGGAAGCAAAGGAACTTAAGCGATCAGGACAACTTATACATATTGCCTCCAAGCATAGCATAGAATTTTGTGATAGTCATCATGTTAATGTTTCGGTACATTTTTGTCTTGTTCTATTATTTGATGAAAGGAAGAGTTTAGTTTAAAAAAACATTCCCTCATTTGTGGTAATTAAAAGTACAAAAGTCCTCCAAGTTCTGCGATAAGCATTTCTACTCGTTGCAAACATTTGATTTGAAATAACGAGCATACATACTACATGCAGACGGCAAGCCCTGTAACTGAGCCCTAATAAGCCTTGACGCTAACAGAAGAAACTTCTGAAAATAGCTTCTCTCACTTAGCTCCTGCATATCCTATATTATTTTTATTTCCTCCAATCACTGAAAGTAAATGATATGCTTGTTGTCTCATTTCCCAAGAACGTGGACCATTAAACACATTATTTTTATCTTTGGCATTAATTGAAATATGATCACCGGTTTCTTCATCTGTCCATATCTACTAAATATTCTTCAGAAACGTGAAAGATGAAAGTTGGAGGAGGAAAATTCACTGTACTAAGCTTAAAAATGATGTTTAATGTGTGCAAGAACATATAGGATATTTTTGAAACCTTTTCGAGTACTAGATCTATGGTGTAGTGGATAGTATAGTGTAGTTGCGAAAATTCCTCATGACTTTTTACTGCTAACGTAAAATAAAATTGTAACCCTGAAGCTTTTTGTTGCTTCATTTTTTATTGTTTACCACATGTCGTATTAGAGTAACGACCTCGAATGTGAAACTTTTTATTTTTTCGATTTATTTACATGAGTATTAGGGTATGTAAGCAAAGAAGTACCCAGCTGTGCGGATAGCGAAGTATGAAAATATATTAGTTTTGTCCTTTTATCCGCAACAGCGAAAATAGAGTACATTTCTGCCGCCTTTGAAACTCTGAATGTACACAAAAACTGAACTTACATTAAGAATGCGTTAATTGCCACCGGTCCCCAGCGAACACGAAAAATACTTAAAAAAGACTAAAAAATGCAACAACATTTGGTAGATAAATGTTTTTATAAAATTTGACGGAAATATGCACCCAAGCATATATTTCCGGGCTCATAGATAAACGGTGTTTAACGGGATCTGCTCTTTAAAGCTTAAAAGCTTAGAGTCAGTTCTCGCTATTCATTAAAGCGAGAAAACAAAACAAACAGAATTTTTAATGGAGTATTTTGTAAAAGATATTTCTTTAAAAATTTGTATGAAAAATGGAAATGGCCAATGTTTTTAAATCGATGAAGGATTGAAATATTGAATGCGAAAATTTTAAAGAGTCCTTCTTTCTCCATTCTAACAAAACATTTTATTGTTGTAATTTCTACAAAAGAAATGCAAAAAAAAACACCTCCGCGTTGTAAGCAAATTTCTGATCATCAATTATTTATCAATCAAACGAAGGCACCTATAGTGTCGAAAGCATTTAGAAGTTTTCTTTTATTATATCAAGTGACATTTAATTTAAAAAATAATTTTTTTAAAACTAGTTTTCTCTACAGAGCAAATCTTGTCGTTACTTTCATTTGCATTTATTAGCATTGGTTAGCAGTTTTACTAAGGCCCAAGCAAAGAAATCTGTGTTCAGGTTGGCCCTTCTTCATCCGTCCCAGCGAATGTTAATTTGATGAATAATAGACCAAGAAGAAGAAGTGTTTATTAGGAAAATTGAAAGTCAGGTTCAATGAAAAGAAAGTCGTAACAGAATGTTTTATAATAAGAAGTTGTTCTGTTAAAAGAAAAGAAAAAAAGAGAGAGTAACATAACAAAGTTTATATTCCTGCTCTTCACATTCTTATTTGTTATAAATTTTACGCAGGTAATAAATGAATAAGATTTATTTATATTAGGTTTATGGCCTTTTTACATATTAAAAATCCGTCTATTTAACAAGCCAATTTCCTGACTCGTCACTTGCGCTGAAATGAAAGTAGGCTGCCGAATTTTGGCAAACGCATTCCTTGCTCTGTTAAGAATATGAGGTTAAATAATGTGGATGACCTTTTCACGTAGGCGCCCGCAATGCAAAAAAAAGGTAAAACAACCTCAGAAAATAACGCGAATTTTTTCAAATTTTTGTCTATAATTAGCGATTCCGTGAGCATATTTCTGAAAAATTGCTATCCAAATGTTCGCCCGAACAATCTGCATATTGGGTGCAAAAATTGTCCCAATCGGCTCATTAATACATCCGCAAATAAAGAAAATACTTTAATTCAAAGTTATTTTCTAGTTATCTCCTTTTCATTCTAACGCACACTAACATTTCACTCTCATCGTATGCATACGTTTGCATACAAAAATTCTTCTTCTTCTTCTTTATTTGTTTTGCTATATTACGCGCAACTAATAAATATGCTCTTTGTGCATACTTGTGCATGTTTTTTTTACTTTTGCTTATTTAGAATATAAATGCCAGAATAATTCTTAATTGAATTATGAAGTTATAAATATAAATATGTGCAAATCTGTCCATCTTATTAAAGTTTCAATTGTAATGATTTTCATTGTGTTTGAAGTGGTTTAGTTTTCGGCTTTCGTAGTGAGTCTTCGGTTTTTCGGTTTTTTCATTTAGGATGTGTGAGTGGCAGAATAATTATAAATTGAGTTGTTTTTAAAGTGCACATATAGAGGGCACTTTTAAATTGCTCATCTTTATGACTGTGATCGAAGTGAGTTTTTATTTATCGTTTTTGGTTTCGGTTTATTTATTTAATTGTACTTTAAATGCAAGCATATACGTAAATAGCAGAAATCGTGCGGAGAGCAACACAAATCTAAATCAAATTTTAAATTGTTCTTGTCATCAAATATTATAGTGAGTGATAAGTAGAA